ATTATGTTTGAAATTATGAACATTGCTCAACATCATGAAAATTAAACCTTATTTTCAATAAGCAATGCTGAAAAATATTTGGGGGTGCTTAACTTTTTTCCAGGTGTATATAATAAAAATGTTTCACTACGCATGCACATGAGCAGCTTGTGGGTAATGGAATTTGAAAGTGTAACATGAGCTGTTTGTTCCCCAAGTGATTTACAACTTATAAGGTGTGAATAGTAGTTAGACAAGGTTTAAAGGGTAATAAAATAATAAAATTTAATTATAAATAGATGTATACTGTTACGAGTTTAAAGCTGCATAGGATAAATGAATCTGGTTTCATGTTACAATTTGAAGTAATTCGAGAAAGAAAAAAGAAGGTAATTTAGATTTATGTAAATTTTTTTGGTGGTTATGAGTTTGGTCAAAGTGACCATCATTGTATAGAGTTAGGGTGGAGAAAATAACAGATAAAATATAAAGTTTTAGTTGAAAACAAACATTTGAAATGTATTTAGGAGGTCTTAGAGATTACATAACAGAAATTTGAGATTAAGAAAAGTATTTTTAATCTTAACATGAATATCACTTTGCACATGGACTATTCAAAACAAATGGTGTCAAAATACTCGAGATATTCACAGAAAAATCTTTTTTATAGTTTATTAAAAATACTTCACAAATGTGCTTTAGAATTGAAAAATATACCCTTTAAAGAACTCAGTTTGTAAATGAATGGTCAGTAATTTGCCATATTGGAAGATGATTTATACAAGTATTTCCTCAATATTTCATGAAATGACAATTTGTACTTAACTGATATGTCTAATAATTGTAATTATAAACACTTATATGTAATGTATGTCTCACTATTTCTTGAAATGACCAGTTTGTATGTTAACAGGTCTGTAATTTTGGTCATTGGAACGTGAGGTAAAGTGGCAAAAGTCTGTTGTTTACTAATCATCCTAGCAGTTTAATATTTAGTGCCTAGAATGCACCAGAGACCACATTGACCACTCAAGCTTTCAGGGGCTGACCCCAACATTTATTTGCTGGGGTCTAGAGCAAGCCAAAAGTTCAGTTTGTTGTTCTTGTTTCTGGAAAAAAAGTGTTTCGTTCAAAAATAAAAATGGAAAGAGAAAGTCATAACAGTAGACACTTTCACTGGAAGCTCTACAGCCAGAAACTATTGAGGTTTAATAAAAAGTAAATGTGAGCTGGCACTGCAATATACATGAAATAAAATAATTAATTGAAAAAAAAAACTATATTCATGATGTTAGGAAACATGTAGGTTCAAGAAATCTATTTAACACAAAAGTATGATACCCTTTAACCCGAGCCCTTTCTAAAGGTGGGCCTTTCTTCTTCTTCCTTGTATGCCCCTGAAGAAGAAAGGTCCACCTTTCAAAAGCACCTTGGTTATAGGGTATTGTATTTTTGTGATATGAAAAACTCGCATTGAGGTTCAATTTGGGTAGTTGAAGGTAGATACAAATGCTTATATTATTTACTGAATATTTATAAATATTTGAAAATACACTTACAGTTGTGCAACTGTAAACAAATAACAAACAACTATTATTACCAACACTCAAAATATCTGTCTTTATACCTTCACTCTATTTTAATTTTTTAAATTATTTCATAGCTTGTCATATTTAAATAATGTTTTGTTAACCATGTTCGTTAAATCTGCATCTTTAAATTTAGACTTTGCCAACAAAGGTTTTTAGAATTGTATCAGACTAAGATTACACCATTTCCATTAATTGTAATATTGAAGTATAAGAATGGGAAGTGATATTTTTATAGACTAAAGTTTCCACTTTCAGCTCTCTTTCATTTCTACAAACTGTATATTGTGAGCCAGGTAGGCTGTACTTTAAAAAAGTATAATGTAATTTGTGTTACATGTTGAAACCATAAACACTTGCATATGTTTATGTATATGTGTTTATGGTTGTAATAAAAATAAAGGACTGAATATATTGGTGCTAATAGTAATTGCTTACATGGGTTTTTATATTCTTGCATATACAAAACTCTTACAGTGTGACAATGTGTTATTTTATGGCTTTATGTGAAGTAGTAGTTTTCTTAATCGCAATATTTTTTTTATATTTTGATAAATTATCATAAAATGTACTTGTTTTGTATAAATTCAATAGTATCTTGGCCTTAATATATTATTTGTTATTAACTACAAGAATGGAGTAATTACTGTATCATCCGATTATCACACATTTTTGCTATGGATGTTGGGTAGACAAAGCTGCTATAGCTGTATGAGTAAACAGTAGTTATTCCTGCATTGGTGTATAAAGAAAGCAAGCAGAAAGATTCATGTTAATGCTATGGTTTCCTTATGTAAAAACTGATTATGAGTTAATAATAGTTAATTACACTTACTGTTTAAGTGTTTATTGTTGAATTGATTGTTACATAAGTTTCATTTATGATTGTTCACTACTTAATAATGAGAAAATATAAAGAATAGAACAGAAAAGAAATAAATCAATAATTTAATATAATTTTTCTCACCAGAAGTCAGTGAATATTGATTTACATTTTCATAAAAAACTTGTGAATATTTAGGACATTTTTTTAAAAAATTCTACATGTTTATATGGTTGTGGTTTAGAAATGATCCAAGTTTTTTAACAGTATTTTAAAACTGTACATGATAATAAGTGTTTCAAACTTTAAAATATTATGATTCCTATGTTTGATGAATTTATAGGTAAATGAAAGTAAACTAGTTCTGAAACTTTGTGACTTTGGATCAGCATCTCATGTGGCAGAAAATGATATCACTCCATACCTGGTCAGTCGTTTTTACAGAGCCCCAGAAATTGGTATGCTTCTTTGGAATGAAATATTTCTATTGATACCAGTAGTTTATTGAATACTTTATTATACAGCTCTGGTGAATAAAAAATAAAGTTATTGAAATATGAAGAGTAAGTACTGTACTATGTGGTTAGTATAAGCTCTTTGGATATATCACTGACTGTCTCTTACTTTAGAATATGAATTAGCTTAATGTTAGTGAGTGAGACTCCTAGGAGATTATACATGCAGATATACATACATTTTTGATGTAATACTTGTAATATTCTGTGAAGTAACATTTTTGTTGTCATACAAATAAAACATGGTAACAGTGAGAAAGAAGGGTATAAAAGGCAAATACAGTTAGTCCTCGATTATTTAGGGTATTGAGGAGGAAGTTGGTGCATGAATAATCAATAAATGTAGATAACCCAGAAATCTATTTTTGGTACAACATATTAGAATTACATAGTTTGTAATCTTTGCATTATTTCTTATAATTGTTCTTATCTTCCTGGCTACTATAATATCATTGTAATCAAACCCTCTGCTGTCCCATATAATCTAAGACAGTATCAAGACATTGCACTCCCATACTCTCACTTACGTGTTCACCTTCTGGCTCTTCTGTTTCACTGTTTCCCTTGTGGTTGTAGTCTTCTTTCTTCCCTTCCTGCAATGCACATGTGATATCAGAATCACTCTTGTTTGAAACCTTTTTCATACTTTTCACTTTTAAACCATTCCCTCAAGTTGTTAACACAGTCTTCAGCTAATTTAGTTGCAGATTCTCCTTTAATAAGAAAATATAAGTAGGCAGACTGAGTTTTGCTTTTCTTTCTAATAAAATCATTAGAAATGTGATGCCTGAATTTATTTTCAGAACATTTTTAACAAGTTAAAAAGTTAGAAAACCTATTTAGTCCTTACATATTGACAAGCTAAGGTAAAAAGAAAGTTAACTTCTTTGAAGAGTCTCAGAAGTATGCTACTCTTAGGTGCCTTACACAGAGATGAACTTTGAACTGCTTGCTAGTCATCTTAAGTGAATTTCTGCAGAGGCATAATCTGCACCTTTACTTTTCTTCAACAAATGTTGGAAAGTGCTTCCCAGGTGAGAGCTGTTCATGTGCATCTGCCAAAACTGGTGATTATATACAGTAGAGCTTCAATTAATGGGCACCACACCATTAAGGGCAGACCATTTCGGTCTCTTTCTTTTTTTTTACTATTTGTAACCAAACTATTAAATCTTGCAATAATGGGCACCTCGATGTGTTTAGTCTCGTTCTCTATACAGGCACTCGATAAAGTGTGCAGCTATCCTTGCATGCCTGTACTGGAATATAGCTAGGTTCCAAACATCCCAGAAGGATGACCAAAATTCAAATACTTGTGATGTTTATTGGATCGGCTCTGAACCATATAGTGTAATAAATGTTTTCACAGATTCAAAGTGCAACCTTATTACTCTGGGAAATTCTCATTGTAAACACTTGTAGGATACATAAGCTGATAAATTCCACACTGTGTTCTTGGAGCAGTGGTTAAGTCGGTTTATTTCACTGCGTGTGCTTTGTTTCCCTCGAGAGTATTGTATAATAGTGTCGTGTAAACAGTCTAATGTCACAAGCAGTGATTTTTTGCTTTATTTTCAGCAGATTTCTACTTCAGTCATTGACAGTAAAATAAACACAGAAAATACATGTGAAATGTTTAGCAGTTCAAACTCTGAAGAGAAGTACTTTGAAACTTTGTGACAAATAATAAAGAAAAAAGTACACAGCTAATCCATCCCCTGAGGCATGGAATCTAGGTTTGCATGGCTCATTTTTTATATTAAGGGAACCTTGCTATAGAGGGCATTTGGATGCAGTCAGAAGGGTTTCCTTAATGTCGAGGTTCACAGCAGTCATTGAGCCACAGCTTAAAAGCTATCACTCTCCCCTTTTTTAGCTGACCTGTAAACATGTTTAGGGACTGGACCCTGTCCTTCTTACAAGTGCCACACACATAAGTGCCAAGTGAAAGTAACTTATCAAACAGAATTGGAGATGTATAAAAGTTGTCAGAAAAAAGAGTGTCCCATTCAAGGTATTTTTCCATCAGTCATTACAACTATGCTCGATAAGCCCTTAAAAGGTACAGATCCCTCTTTACCAGAGTATTCTCTAAAATGTAAACAATATCCAGTCATGGCTTCTGCCAGAACCCACAGTTTGATGCAACACTTGGTAGGTTTGTTTGGTAGATATTGTTTAAATGAAATACTACCTTTTGTTCCCAGCATTTGTTCATCAGTAGATAGTTCCCTCTAAGGGTTATAGTGTGTTGAAAAAGCTGTTAGTAAGTGATCGAGCAAAGGACTGACTTTAAAGAGTTTATCATGCTTGGCATCAGTTTTAGGTAGATTATTAGCATTTTTATTGAAATGCAGGAAGTGAGCGACAGTTGGGAATTTTTTCTCTGGAAAACATTGAAGAAAAATCAGGGTAAATTAAGTGAAGGAGCGGTAGACCAGTAATCTGAAAGAAATGGTAAGCAGTGTATGCCTATAGCAATAATTACACGAATAAAAGCTAAAATTTCTTCAGGAGTAGCATCACTATATTTCACCATTCTTTTTTTCTTTCTGACATGGATGTTTAGGTGTTCCCCTTGCTGGTGTACAAATATGTTTGTTTCTTCAGCAATTTTGGTAACAATGTTGAGAGTGAAAAACAGTTGGAAAAAATCAAGAGGAGTCTGACACCTGCTTGCTTGAGAGGAAATGGACTCTCTTCGGATTAAGTTCATCAACAATTTGGGCTGGTCATCTTTGAGGACTTCCCATTTTCAGTCTGCACTGCAGCCCAGACAGAGACTTTGTTGTATTTTCATGCTTCTATGTCTGTGTCAGGCTCCTCAAACAAAAAAAGAATCCATCATTGTTGGTTCTTTACAATCAGTTTTTGTTGTTGTGACTTTCTCCTCTGACTCTGTGGAAAGAGAGTCTTCCAAGGAGGAGCAATGCTTCATCCACAGTGAAATCGTGCTTCTTCTTCAGGGAGTCAATCATGTCTTTAGAGGCCATCTAAGAGAATTTTAGTATATTATTACTATTCAGTTGATATAATGAAAACATGATATACATATACATTTGCACTGTTGAACCTAGACTTAAAAGTACTAAGAATACATTTAACAAATTCAATTAACTCTCTCTACATGGGCTCAATTGAATTGACCAACCACGTGACTGTTTCAAAATTATTACAGTTTTGTTATTTTTTAATTGCTTTTTTTAAGTAATTGTATGTTTAGCTAATTGGAAACTTAATTTTAATGTTTAGATCAGTTCTTGTGTTTTAGATGTTTTATTAGAGTGTACTTAGATGATAAAGGGGCATAAGTAGATTGCTTTTTAAGGCTTAGCTCATATCAAAAAGAGAACTAAATATGTATTTGTAATTAAGGTAACCTAAAGGTTATTATTATTCTTTTAGTTCTTGGACTTGGCTATGGTTTTGGGATTGACATGTGGAGCGTGGGGTCTACACTTTTTGAATTGTACACTGGAAAGATTATGTTTCCAGGAAAATCAAATAACCAAATGTTGAAGCTGTTTATGGACTTAAAGGGCAAATTTCCAAACAAGTTGATCCGCAAAGCTATGTTCAAGGAACAACACTTTGACCCAAACTGTAATTTCTTGTACCAAGAGGTAGATAAAGTGACAGAAAGGGTAAGCTGGAATGTGTTGCATACTAAATTTAATGTTTGTTAGTGAGGAATAACAAATATCTTCTTGTGTTGCACTTCTATTGTAGCTTTTCAACTTATGTTATAATAGAGAGTAAAAATTATATCTGAATATCATTGGTTAGAACTTAAATATTGTAATTGTTATCAGAGAAAATACCATAATTTAAGAGAATTTTGTCAGTTTTATTGTGTATGTTATTTGTTGTGAAACCTGTTTTTCAGAGTGCAGTTATAAAGTAACTTAAGTAATTCAGGCTTTCAAGCATCCCTAAAATTCCTAGTTTTTGAGATTCTGCTAAACTTCATAAAATCTCTCTTTTTTGATTAAATTTTGTATGTTTCTTAGAGAGACACTGAGTTATATAAAGCTAATCAGTGTTTTCTAGCTATATATACTATGCAGGTTCTGTTTCAAGCTGGGTTTTCTTGTGAATCCTCATCTTCAGCTTGAACATTGGCATATTTCAGAAAGGAATACCTATAGATCCATACCACCCTTTTAATGTGGTAAGTAGTAATTCAATAGAAATACTCCTGTAATGTTCCCAGTGAAAAAAAAACTGTGGGAATGTAGTTTTGTTTCTTTGTATATGGGTTTGAATAAGAAAGGTGTAGCACCTAAATTTACTAGTTTAACCCTATCACCATGGGTATCCTTTACTGCACTTGACACAAGGTTTTAGTGTCTTACATTCAAAATGCTATTAAACTACTTTTTGTTTATGTTGCTTTTAATAGTATATAAGTTTTAAGTTCTTAATTCTACAAGGCAATATTTTGAAAAATCCTGAATTTCCCTTAGTGTGACCCACATGAAACATTTTCTTATAGCATGTCATCATCCCTATTTTATCCCCCACCCCTCGAAAAAGTACGAAATTAACTGTTAATCACTCTCAATAAAATCTTTAATGCACAGACAAACCATAATTTTTATAGCCTCCAATTTTGTTTGGTTACAGAGCTATAGAATATAAAATCAGACCCCTGCTGCCACACCCACATGTCACATCATCTCCTTCACAATTCTTTAAT